TATATATATGGTTTAATTACATAGGGGCTTTTATTTGACTTATGACTAAGAAAATTCAGTTTTTTATATCTGAGATGCAGGCTGATAGTGTACCAAGTCATTTTTACTGTATGTCACTAAATATTTTTAAAGCATTAGCCTGTGTATTAAAAGGAAATGTTTGTCTTAAAAAACTGATTAAATCTGTTCCTTTCCTAAATGGCAAACATTTTAAAACTGAGAGAGGTTATAGTTCCCACGTGCTGCTCTGACTTCTCTTGTAAATGTAAAAAACAAGAAACTTAGTTCAACTTTTACAGATTTCTGTGTTTTGAATGAATYCTGCTTCGAGCAAAAGTAAAAGTTTAGAGGAAGTATTGCTGAAAAGACAGATTTACCTTGTGAAGAGTCTTTAAAAAAGATAAAAAAAAAGACCACCCATGCCTCCTCCATCAAAGACTAGAAGTGACTGCAGAGTTCCCTCTAACAGAGTCCCTCTCTCTCTCCTGGACTCTGCAGGATGGGCTCTTCCAGTTGTGAAACAGCTGGAGTCGGGAGTCCCAGCTCACCCGGTGAGGACCCGGCGCTGCGCCTGCAGCAACCAGCTGGACTCTGAGTGCCACTACTTCTGTCACCTGGACATCATCTGGATCAACACCCCCAGGTTAGTGGGAGTTTTAATTATAAAAAAAAAAATTCCGCACAGTTTGAGCAAAGTTTAGCGACGCTTAAATAACTCTCCTATCATTATTGCTGTATCGTTAAAGAGCCATCTGTTAAGTAACAAAGAGCAAAGTCTGCAGAGTGTTTTTGTCCGGATCACGGCACTGAGCTTGTCGTTCTCTCTCCGCAGTAAAACGACACTTTATGGTCTGGGTGGCTCGTTGCTGCGACGCAAACGCTCCACTGGACGCTGCACCTGTGCCAAAGCTGACGACCAGACCTGCAGGGGTTTCTGCAGCCTCCGGTGAGTCGAAGCGTCGCTTAAAAGCCACAAAACCAAAACATCATTAAAACGCTAAAGGGAGGTACGGCTGAGGAGGACGGGGAGTGGCGAGGTGGTAGGAATGAATGGCTCGAGCTATTATTAAACTAAACGCTTCCCACAACTCCTCCTGGGGCGTGCGTGTGTTTGTGTGTGTCTGTTAGAGATCATCAAAACAATTCTGCTGAAACCTGAAGGAAAGTATGGGTCAATCTGAGTGCACAAAGTCCACAGAGGTTGTGTGTGTGGGAGGCTGGCGGAGGCAGGTAAACTTTCAGGCACATTCCCCTGAAATGACTGTACTGAAAACACCTTGAAACCAAGGAGACGGTGAGCCACAGGCTCCACAGACGTGTGAGGCAGAGATGAAACATGTAGGAACCCTGCTGCTGCTGATGATGATGATAATGATTATAAAGAGCAGAGTCAGAAGTATTCACCCTCATTACTCAGGCAGAAGTATGGATACTAGGGTTTAAAAGGAATTCAGTACACGTAAATCAACTCAAGCTTTTTAAGTCRAGTTAAAGTGACATTCACATCCTTCAAATACAAAAAACACAAAGAAAACATCTTTATATTTAAGAAACTTGGCATTTTGTCACATAAAYGGCAAATTTTCTTTTGAACTTGGCTCTGCTAAAGTGAAACAGGAAGTGAGATCAAAGGGGAACTTAAAAAAAGAAATMTCCTTTGTCTTTGTTTATTGAAAACTATTTAAACTTTGGCTCATCTTCATCTGATRGCGACTCAAAATAATCTAAAGAAACATCAAATTCTTCTACCTGTCACTCAACAAATATTCATCCCAGCAGCGCAAAACATTTTCTGCTGTATCTTATTAATGTTATCTTTTCGAATTAGAATTTTTATTCCTTTTCTTGTCATTATACAAGTAACACAGCGACATTTACAGATGAGCAGCTCTTGAAGGCAGTGCAAAAATAACAGAGTTCTCAAAAACAGTAATTAAGTGACCACAATAAATATGTACAAAGAAACAAGAGTAGTCACGTTTTAAATGGAAGAATAAAAATAGAAAATTTGATATRTTCAGGATATCAGAAATATYGCACTTGATGTGTACGTGTGTTTATATTTCACCAGAGTTGAGCAGAAAAAATTTACTGGTTGATCATGGTTTGGATGAGTCTGCAGCATTTGCATTAAGGGCAACAAAAGCTCGAGGGTAGAAACTGATTTTTAGTCTTTGTTGACTTTAACACCTCCCAATAAATGTATTCATATTTGTTGCAACAATTTGATGTCTTAGGCAAAAGTTAAAGTAATGTAAAGAAGAAAAATGCCATTATGGATAAAAAAAAATTAGGCTGTGCGGGGTCCGTATTGCAAAACCCCACCTTCCAAAAAATAATAATAATTATAACTATAATGTCAGATTATTTATAAATATGGTTTATCAGTTTGGGATGCACTAGTCAACCTGTTTCAGCTGCAGATATGTGAGCCATCACATCGAAACGAGGATTAAGTCCAAAAGTTGTAAATGGAGAAACAGCCAAATATAGTGTTTTGACTAAAATGTTAACAAAAATTGCATTTTGTCAAAATA